TAGCTTAACGTAAACAATTAGAAATGAATGGTATTTCAATAGAACAAATATTATTTCTTCGCCAAGAATTCTTAAGCTTTTAGAGCATGTTAAATAATTATCATAACATTCAGCGGAATTTAAAATTTTAAATTTCTTTCAGCTCCTACCTTTTGATAGTTTCTTAGTCTGTCATTTTCGCCTCCGCCCGAGTATCTTTTAATTTCCACTTTATACTCTCAATAAAACGCATAACTGCCTGCTGGCGTAGTTTTTGGAGTTGGTTCGCTTTATAGCTATGCGATTTCTTTCGACTTAAGGGCCTATCAACAGCTTGAGACGTAGTTAAAGTTCGCCATTTTTAATTGCCATGGCAACACGATAAGTCAGCTTAGACTATCGCCAACTTAGCCACCTCATAAAAAGTGCTAGGGGAATGGCCGGGTTTGGGAGCGGGAGCGGGAGCGGGAGCAACAGCTTCGTCTCTTTGGCTTCCGTTATGGCTGCCATCATTGGCATTTGGTATGCCCTGCTATCATCATTACATCAACTAGCTGGCAACTGGCACGTTAGGGTTTTCATTACCCATACCATACCCTCTAGATCCATATCATAGAGCAGCTTGCGCCGCACTTCATTTGAGTCTTTGAACTGCAAATAGACAACGTGTTGGGTTTTCGGTTCAGTTTGAAGGATTGGCTAGATGGCTGGCTGGCTGGCTGGGCCAGAGGTTGGTGTCGTCTGCTTTTCACTTTTCACATTTCCATCATCAACCTTTGCCGACTTTGCTTTCGTTTTTGCTGTATTTGCATATCAAATTAAAAGCGCCCGAGTAATTTTAGCGCTTTTACAGAGCCACAGAGATAGATAGGGGAATTGAGAGAGTGTGTGTGTGGGCGGGCGTGGGTGGTGTGTGTAAAGGGGTGTGCTGCTTTTGTGGGTGGTAGCGTAGCGGAAACGGAAGTTTGCATAACCGCCAACCCGTACTCCCTGCCCACCAACCGCTCAACATGACGCGTTTTTCCGGCACATTGTCTGATGAGCCACCCGCAGCTGTGAAATAAATAAAATACACGTTAGGATGGTTGCATTTAAAAGCTATAATTAAAAAGCGACCAAACATCCAGAAAGACAGAGAGACAGTCAGACAGACAGACAAACAGACAGTTCTATAGACCATATAGGTAAAAAGCTAGACGAGCTCTGCTTTGGCTCTGCGCGTTTGCTGTTAAATATTCAAATGGCGCGTCGACATACAAAATGGCGCATAGACGTGTAAAAACAGTTAGTCCTTACCTATATGTGTCTGTGTGCGCGAGTGTGTTGAATTTTATTTGTTTGAGTCTCAGTCGCAGATTGTCCGCGTGCCGGCTTGTATATGTGTCTATGTGTGTGTGTGTGTGTGTGTGTATCTCTGCAATTTAAAGCACTGTACGGGCAGCAACAATCATGTCCTGAATGTACAGCCGACAAAAGGTTACGACAATGTTATCGATAAAACGAACTGAGGAAACTAACAGTTTTAAATGAATTCGATAAATATCGAAGAAGTTATATGTTTCTTATGATAGCATATGGGATTATATTGTCTAGTAAGTAAAGGACTCTTAACATTTATTTTAACTATATTATTTTTGTTGCTTTATAATTTGTATATTTTTGGGTAATTTTATTTCCTTTCTTACGTGTAGTGATTGTACAGTCAACAAATAGTCGCGATTATATTATCGATAACTTTAACTCAGCGTTCCGTTGTTTTGTGAAATCGATAAATACCGAATAGTAAAAGTAAGAATTAAGCTAGTGTAAGAATTTCAGGATATAAGATATGAAACTTATTCTATATTTTTATAATATATTGCAAAAGCATTATTGTGGTTACAGCTTGACTCTTGTCTACTTAATTAACTGTTCTCTTTGTATACAATATTTTAATGGGGCATCTATTGCAATCTTTTATGTGGTTTTAATTAAAGTTCTTACTTTATTCTCTATTTTTTTTTGTATATCCTTTTATGTCTTAAGTAGAAGATGATCTATGCTCAGTTATTTTCTGTATCGTATTCTACCATTTCATTTATTTTTGTGCACTGTCTGAGCCCTGAGTGGGATTTAATCTGACTACAAGCTCTATTCGCATTTTGGCAAAATCAGTTCGTGCTTGTCGCCTGGTCGACTGTAGGGCTGTGTCTGTCTGTTGGCGGAATGGGCGCTTTATTATTCAAGATTATCCTGCGGGTATTGAAGTGGCGTACGTTGTGCTCCATGTGCGTATTCCCCATTACCCACTGCCGACATCGATGACATGTTTGCGTCGCCAGCATGTCTGGAACGAACTATAACAGACCTCGAGATCTCTGCCGCGGCGCCCGCAGTTTTTGCCCAAGATGCGAAGATGTGCTTTCATGTTAAGCAAGTTCCAGGGGCGACGCGCCCTTTGCCTAGTCTACTTTGAGGTTTTAGTTACATAATTTGATTAGTTGCGCAGATTTTGAGCCCATCATCATAAATATTTGAAGCGCGTCTGCCGGAGCCAATGGAGACAACTAGCGAGATTTATTTACTGATTATAGACACAATGATTTATGAACTGTCTGTCAAACCGTCTGAACGTCTAACAGTCTAACCGTCTATCTGGCTGTCAGTGGAGCGTGTGATTAGCCCTGACATGTTATGTCAATTTTCCAAATCATTTTCCGCGCACTGCTATATCCAGTCCACTGCTGGCGAAAAATCAAACAACCGCCCGTAAAATCCTTTAAAAACTTGCCAGAACAGCGTTCTTTCATTAGGCAAACAATGGCGACGGCGATGGCGGCGACTGCGACGTCACTCTGATGGAATTAGTTTTATTTTTGAAGGGATCCATTTTGGCCAGAGTCCGTGCAAACCATTTAAAACGCAGATTGTCATCCATTAAGAGATTAGAAATTTTCCAGGGGTGTTTTTTTGTAGTTTTCTTTTTATATTTTTTGTTGCCATTCTGTTGCTGTTGGTGGCTTTTGTCTCTGCTGGCGCTTCAAATGGCATGAGTTTTGCAAACAGTCGCAGGACACAAACAGTGTCACACACACACACACACACACACACACACACACACATATACGTTGACGACAAACGCTGGTCGTAAAAAAGAAACTCCAGCTTGTCTGGTCGGGGAAGGGGGGAAAGCATCAGCAAGTTTCACATAAAAATCACTTCAAATGTCATATTACGTAGTAGCTGGGGAGGATGGGCGAGGACAATTGCCATCGAATTCGTATCGGAAAATTGAAATCTGTGCGAGTTCGTGTCCTTCAAGTCAACGATGGGACCGGACAAACGTATAAGTTTTCCGGGGGAATCACCCACCCATATAATACATATGCTTGACGTAATCCTTTTTGCCTCGGCAATGTGCAGCACTTTGTCCTTTGCTTGTTCACAGGATTTTCGACAAATTCTGTCTGTTTTGACTTTGTTGTCGTTGTTGTTGTTGCTGTTGTTGTACTTGTTGTTGTTGCATCAAATCATTTTCAATTGCTTGACCATAGGAAATGGGTGCTCATATTTTAAGTAGTGGCAAGCAGCTAGGAAACTTCTTGCTTACTGTTACGCTTCAACAAAGCTGCACGAAAGAGTTAACTCCACAGAAGGGTCGTGTGTGAGAGAGTGCAAGAGAGAGAGGCACAGACACATGTCAATGCGAATGGCCAACAAAGAGCTTATTGTTCAGCTGAGTGGGTGGGGTTTGGGTTGAATCTAAGTGAAATACCATGCTACTTGAAGTGTAATTGCATTAGCAAAGTGGCTGCTAAGCTTTAATTGTATTCGTTTCAATGTCAAACTGCATTCAGCAGTGCTTTAAATGTGCATTTCAATTTGAATAAACGACCGAGCGCGCGCCGCTGCTAAGGTTATCGATATAACAACTGAATCGATATATCGATATTCCAATATCACACAGAGTATCAATACAAAACACGATCGTCTCGTTTATAAGGAAGTAATAGTTTCTGAGTAACGAAGATTAAATACTTTTCCGCATATATTTATGTGAGATATGTGACGATATATTTATATATGTCAGTTATTCATAAATGATGTCTTAATACCAAGATTCTGAGCAGGCACAGCTGTTAGGCTTATCGATATAAGAGAGATATATAGTATGTATCGATTTTCCATTATCACAATGAGTATCCGAAAGCACGATCGTGTCGAAAGAACTAATACTTAGTTTACGACTGACGAAGATTAAATACGCTTGCCCACATATTTATGTATATCAGATAGCTGTATGCTATATGCTATATGCTATAGTACTCCGATCAGTCCGATTTTTATATATGCAATGCCTGCAACAAAGAGATATCCGTCACACTGCCAAGTTTCCCTACCCTAGGAAATATAAAACGTCTTCTTCAATACGTTACACATTTTTTGGCATAACTATATTATCCTCTGCAAACGAATGATTAGTTTGCAAATAATTGACACAAAAGAGCTTATATATTCCGTATGTTGTAATTATATATTAATTGTTAACAACTCTAACAAAACACATAATTTTGTTTAAACATACTTTGTTTGCCGTTCTTTTGTGTTTACAGTTATTGTTTTAGAAGGGCTGCCCTTTTGGTTGTTTTTAATTGTCTAAGTTCAATTACGCAAAGCTTTAAAGCAGGCATGAACAAAAAGAGCATGTTCTACACTGAGCGAAATGGGCAGACTAAGCGAAAAAAGCAAACTTAAATAGTGAATAGAGAATGGACACAGTCAGACGGAACATTGTCGGGGTTCGCATTCCCCTTTTCTCACAGTGCTCGTCTGCTCTTCGGCTGCTTTTCGTTTTCATTTTCTAAGCTTTTGATGCACCTGCTAGGTGTCGATGGCTGCTTTAAAGTTCCGTAAGCTGAGGTGCTTACAGTTATTCCCGCTCGTTCTACCTACGCTTTGCCGCTGTTTTGATTTAATAGTGCGGCTCAGTTATCTCTTTAATAGGTTGTCAATATCCATTTGCAAAGTGCTGGTCGCCAAGCGCACAACTTTCTGAGCAGCCATACAAAACGCGTTCACCGTTAGCGCCCTCCTGCACGTCTGCTGTATACTTTTAGTTTTCATCATGAATTTTCGAAAAGTTTGACGCGCGCTTCGCTAAAATTGCAGCAGCCGAAGCAACAGAAGGAGCGGAAAAGTTCTTATCTACCGTTGCCGTTGCCGTCGCAGTCGCAGTCGCAGTCGAAGTCGCCGTCTTACTTATCTTGGCATAAAATTTGTTTCCACAAGGCAGTCAGAGTCGGGTGAGTTGACTTGAGTTTGGTTTCTATACCCTGTAGCTAGTGAGAATGAGTTAAAGAGAGTATAATGATTGTGAGCGAGTGTAAGTAACAGACGAAGAGATAAAGCATAGATATAATAAGCATTCACAGCAGAGTCGGTCACGTCTATAGGTCTGTAAAATCTCAGAGGTGAAAAGAGTGCACGTCTGTAAAATAAAGTAAAACAGATTGAATGTTTGTGATCGTATCTCGATGCTGTGTACAGGGTAGTCTCTTAGTCGGTCATTACCGTGCTTGTTGTTGCTGTTGTTGTTCGTTTTTGTTACTTCTCCTCTGTTTTCTTGTCAACTTACTCTTGTTAACGGCTCTTTGGCTGACGTTCTCCAGTTTGTTTTCTTAGGTGACGGCAGCCAGTACCATTTTAATATGTCCCTAGCCGCGCGAAATTGCTGAAGACATGTTTGTTTTTAAACAGATTACATTATTTTATGAACGTATTTCTCCGCCTTTGCTGCTGCTGCTGTAGCTGCTACTGCCGTTGATAATATGCAAAAACTTGGCAAACAATAACACGCACCCAGAAAAGCGCCAAATGCTACTAAAAAGTTACACACATACACACGCAACACACACACATGAATGCACACATACATCACACATGCTCAGAAAAGCTCTCAGCTTGTGCAAACATTGCCTGGGAATATTGCCATAAGTTTCATCGACAAATTAATGATGAGTAACCATAAACATGCATTACATAACAAAACAAAACGGGAACATTTTAGCGGTGGTTTGGTGTGCTTTGTTTTGCCGCGGATTCTATTGCCGTCTACTACCCTCTCTCTCTCTGTCTTGTGCTAACTGTAAAGTTTACATCACATACGACGCGCGTAAGCTTTGACTTGCACTTGAAAGCTGAAGAATAGCGTGAATGGCAGGCGACAAGTGTGTCAATATCAGTTTGGTAAGTGGCAATTAAATTAATTGTTAAAGTAGTTGGCAATTTTTAGCAATTATTTTTGAAATTTTATTAAACATATATAGAAGGTGAAAATTGAGAATTATACACCTAAATATTTTCCTATTATATTTGACTACTATAAATATTCAATATATAGTGGAGCCAGGCGACAAGAGATTTAAATAGGCAAGAATTATGTTTAGTTTAGAGGCCGTCAGGTGAAAAGTATAAGTTCGTTGTGGCTTTATATACAAAGTCTCTAAATCTCGTGAAAAATCTCATATTTTTTGCAAAACAACCATTTACATAAATCAGCATTTATATCAATGCTCATATTTCAACTGACTATCTGCTTTCCTTTTTCATGTTTTAACAACTTTCGAACGTCTGACATTTCACAATGCATACCATGTGTCATATAAAAGACTCGCATTCTTTTCTTCCATGCACACACAGATGCTTATACACCCACACACACGCTTAACATCAATGTCAGCTGTGTTGCCTTGTCGCCTGGGCTAGTTCACATTCGCATTCCATCTACTTTGGTACCCACTCAGCCCTGTTCTCGTCATCTAATCCCATACCGACGCACTCCAGACGCTTTACACGTGCTCCACGCCATTCAAGTGCCTGCAACCGGTAACTGGCAACAGCAAAGGTAGCGTCAGCGGCAGCGGCAGCGGCGGCGGCAGCGGCAACAGCTCCTTGGCATAATCGCTCAACAACAAAGAAAAGGGAGAGAGAGAGAGGTGCCAAAGCGGAGGCAGGTGGCGAACGGGTGGCCACGTGGAGGTGCTCAGCTAAGACATTTTATCTGTGCCTTTGCGTTGCCAGCGCGTTCCGTTGCGGATGCGGAAGCTTGTTGATGCTTTTACCATTTGTTAAGTGCTGCTTGTTGCTCCAGCTGTCGATGCTGAGGTCAGCGCTGCAGGTGCTGCTTTTCCACCTGCCTTTTGCCATCTCTGCCTGTTGCTGCTGCTGTCGTTGTCGCTTTCCCTGTTGCTATTGGTTATGTACTCAGACATGTAGGGTACGAATTGAGAGCCGCATACATCAGGTCCAACACAGGAGATTCTGCCACTGTGTCTTGGAATTTGCACTTGGATTTTTCGGCTTACTACGTGCTTTGGCGTTTGCTTTTAGTTGCGCTCTGCGCTATGCACTAATCCTAAGTAACTGTTGTTAGTGGCATCGACTGCAAGAAGAGAAACAAGCAAAAGTGCTCTAATCAAATGCTCCCGACTGCATAATACTCATTAGCAGTACAATAAGCTTTGAAAACCTTCAAAAAACGATCCTAACCAGCTTGACAAATTTATGGAATCTGGCTATAAATTTGTGGGCGTGGCAAAAATATATTAGGATCGATTTTTGGAATATTTTTTACATTCTGAATTTGGACACTCGAGCTGTATAAGTGTAAAAGATGTGGTTTTTCTTGATTTGAGATATATTATCTTTACTTTTACACAGATCAAGTTGGTTATTTTTACAAAACCTATATACTCGTTTCACTTTCTGAACGGGTATTAGAATACCTAAAGCCACTGCAAAGTTTGCCACGCAGCTAACTTCATGTGAGGTGCAATTCAGTCAAAGTTTGGCGAATCAGAAATGTAATAGAGAAAAAAACGTTGCATACGTTGAGGCGTCCCACGGTCTGGCACTAAATATACCCTAATAAAATGGTATAACTAACTGCATATATAGTTTAATTGTACAGATATTTGTCAAGGGCTTCCCTAAATTGGGTTAGTGAGTTCTTTTTGTCGCAAGATTCTTGAATGTGCTTAATAAAATATGATTTATGCTTCAATTTATAGTTTGTTTTAAAGAAAATGCTTTACTTTTTTAGTGTGTATGAAATTCGTTGTGTGCAGTTTTCTAAGCTTCGCCTCGTTTTTGTTTTTGCCATCGAGAATTGATACAAAACTAAAAAGACGCTCCTGACGGATTGCTGCAGTTAAGGACAGGAGCAACATCAGCAGCAACAGCAACAGCAATAGCAGCAGCTTAAAAGTGCATTTCTCAGTTACGACAGATGGAAATTTTATGCACGCTGTTCTTAAATTACAAGTTTATATCTTGTAGCTGTAGCTGTATTTGTATCTGTGTCTCTATTGGTATATTAGTGCCAAATGCTTTTCTGGGTGTTGCCAGCGACTATTTGAAAAATGTGCATTGCTTGTTAGCGATTTACCCTTTTCGGTTTTGTTTACAACTTGAGCGAGTCGAGTTGAGTTGTTGAATTCCCGAACATACAAATTGTCAAGGTGCCAAGCGCCAAATGCAGTGCAGATTATTTCCATTAAGGTAAATCCGTCGGGGGAGGTGCCGTATTACACCGAACATCAATATCTATTTGGCAAAGTGCTTCTACAAAAAGTTACTAAAATAATGTGCATTGGCATTTTTCGTGTGCTATATGCGCATTCTAAGTAGTTATATAAATCGATTTGATGATGTTCTGCGATTATTTCAGTTTTGTTTGGAAAAGAATGAAAGCTGCTTTCAAAGATGAAAACAGTTGTAGAAGTCTAATGAAGGTTCTATCGACTTTGCTTGAGCCAAATTTAAAGCTTTATATTTTCAACATCACTTTTTGACGCAGTTCCCAATCCTAGGTTAATTTGAATCAACACCTAGCATCTTAAATTGTATAGATATTTAAATATAAGTTCTAAGCTTTGTAAATGAGCTTGAGGTCGAAAATATATTACCCATATTCCAGGCAGGACAGGTGAATTTTCCAAACAATTTACATTTAATGTTCAAAAAGAACTTTCAAAAAAGTTGCAAGTCAATAGGCTGGTAAACACAAAAGCTTCAAAAGTCAAATTCCACCAATTTTCCACTGTTGCGGTTGGAATTTGACAGTCAATTAGAACAAACATATTGTTGGAGGAGGGGCACAAATAGACTTAAACTTTGGCTATCCAAGTTAACAAGATATTTTTCAGTTTGGTTAAATCAACTTCCGTTAAGTAAAGTAAACTGAAGCAAGGCTTAAGGCGGATTCGTGTTAATAAATATTTTGCTGATTTTAGCTTTTGTTTACTTTGGCCTTGTGCTCCCGCACAATCTTAACTAATTTAACCCGCTGTTTAATCAAAACGTCTCTATTTTCAAATGCTACCTGCTGTTTACACAAATCAGATTTCTTTACCTTTAGCTAACCGCAAACAAAAACGCGAAATGTCTGTAAAGCTAATTACATTTTGTGTGCCAGGGATTTCAATTAATTTATATGTATTTAATTTAATTGAATATTTCCATGCGCCTCGGCGCCCTTTCAAGCTGATTGCTTAGAAAATCGTTTGATTGACACAAAAACGGGACAAACTGAAGCGAGAGGCTTGTCACACACACACACGCACGCACACACACAGAGAGAGTTCATGACACATGTTTTGCCTTAGAAAAACACAAGGTCACACAAGTCGTTTGGCGGAGTGAGGTTCCCCAGACGCCAACACGCTAAAGCAGCTAAGCAAAAAAAAAAAAAGGTCAGAGGTGGCATTTAGTGCTGCAGTGGCTCCTTGGGGTCTGGCTGCCTGCTCGACTGCGTCAGTGTTGGCTTAATTAATTTCTTTGGCCTTGCTCAAAAAACGATAAAAAAACACACACACACACACACAAATCGCCATCGAGAAAGTTGCCAGTGTTGCCAAAAGCGTACACACACGCCCCTTTCAAAGGGGCGTTGCCAGATAGTATGAATTCAACTAATAAATTACAACACAAAAGTCAATAAAATCATTGAATTCATTATAGGTACATATACACAGATCGCTTCTGTGTATGTGTGTGCGTGCGTGTTTGTTTGTCTTGGGTAATTTAAAGCTTTGCGGCAGTTTTTTTTTTGGGATTTTTCGGGGCGTTGCCATACCCTTGACTTTTGGTCTATCAAGGACATTGCCGTCTCAGCAGCATCCCAAGTAAATTAAATGAATTGAACAAATTTACGTAAGTTTCTTAGCTGCATGTTGAACATTTTCCACATTATTTGGATATGCTCCTTAATTTACATGGCTTTCCAACAGCTTTCCGCCCAGTTCTTGCTCTCTCTTTCTCTCGCCTCTTGCTGCTGTCCGGCCTGTACGGCTTTTGTCTTTGCTGTCGTCCGGTGCAAATTGTCACTAACGATGCGCGTAATTTTATGGCCAGGGAGTTTCTACTTCATTTAAAGTCGCCTCTTCGCACTGGCGTAAAATGTTTGTTGGGCTTTAGCTAAGACCCAATGCTGCTGATATGGTCTGGATGGTCTCTTCGGCTAGATAATAACTTCACTAGCTATTTTCTAATAAATTAACTTTGAATGAAAAATAAATCAGCTCAAAGCTTGAGCACAATATTGAGGAGGTTGGAGGATTGAAAACTCAAAGCCAGAGCCTAGACGACATGCAAATGCGGTATAAGGGTAGATAATTTTTTTTTTACTTGTAACTTTTGATAGAATTACGTTAATATACCCTTTGAAACCGTACAATGAAAGGGTATATCATCTATCAGTTTGCTGATAACTTATCAGAGAATTATAAATAATATATATAATTTATATATAATTTATAAATTTACTTATAGCTTACCATAGAAATGTAATAAGATACTCTGTATTATATAATGGTATATAATTCATAATTTTATTCATAACTTTCCATGGATCTTATACTCTTATACCGTGTAGTTACATGCCATTGTAAATTGTGGCATTTTAAAATCTACAAATGATTGGATCCGTGTTCGAATCCCACACTAAATATAGTATTTAATAATAATAATAATAATAATCATAACAATACCTTTATTAATAAAAATAAAGATTAAAGCAATCTCGAGAGGAATCTCTAATGTAACCACGACAACTTCCGATTATGTAATCGCTGCAGGGTATTGAAAAACTGTAAAGTTTTGCACCATGGCAAATAATGATAGAACTGAAACAGACCTAAAAGCTGAACAATTTTCGAGTTTCTCGTACCGGAAATTGCTCGGGATTG